TTCGCTTTGGGCAGGAAACATGTTAGTAATTACTGCTTTTCAGGCGATTTTCTGGTTCAGTTTAGATCACCAGCCTCAAAGCTTGTTTTCCTCCTGAAATGAAGGTTCAGGTTGTGCTGAAGGTACAAGAGAGCAGAGTGAAGTTTCTAATCGGGTCAGAGAATCTAACGGGTCACAGGATACAGCATACCACCAGAACTCATGGGAGGAAAACTCCCCTGGGCTTCATTACCCTCCGCTCTCAGGGCTGGATTTCCTGCCTGGACGAGGTGAAATTATCGCACATAATCCATTTTATTCATTTCTCCCCTGTGGACTGCAAAAACACAACATATTGGCAAGTAATTTTAGTCTTGTTTCAAGTGGAAATATCTTAGTTCACTTGAAATAAGGCAAAACTACCGTATAATTAACTTTTAACCAAGTTGTAGGAGCTTGTTCTGAGTTAATAATTCCTTAATATTGATTAAAAACTACTAGCAGATTATTTCAAGATTAACGTGGGAAAAAGCTACCACTTTTTAGACAATAGTCAAGAAATATTTACATAAAAAAGGTCATATTTTTTGCTGAAAAGTTACTTGATAGTTAGTTTTGTCTTATTTCAAATGTACTAAGATATTTCCACCAGAAAAAAGGCCAAAAAACAATTACTTGGTAAGATTTTATGTTTTTGTAGTGTAGAGAAATGTCTGTCTGTCAGAGCTGTGCACTGCAAAAACACAAAATCTTACCAAGTGTTTTCAGTCAAGTTTAGTGCAAATATCTTAATGAACTAAAAATATGACAAAAGTAACTTACAAGTAATTTTTCAGGAAGATATAGAAGCTTTTTGTATTAAATAATTCATTAATATTGATTTAAAAAATTACTGGTTCCACTGAAAGGTTTTTTCACTATTAATATGTGAATAATGTCTTATTTTTTGTTAACTAATAAAGTATTTTTCATGAATATTAACCAAATATTTACTTAAAAGAAATTCCTATTTCTTTCTTAAAAGTTAAGTTAGTTTTGTCTTATTCCAAATGTACTAAGATATTTCAACTAAACTAGACCAAAATACTTGGTAATATTTTGTGTTTTTGCAGTGAAGTTTGAGTAAAGAACCGTAACGAATCAAGTAATGAGGAAGCTGATCACTTAGTTCTGTAAAATCTAAATATTTAAATGAATCTGCAGCTAAAAACTCTCCTGAAAAAATGACTTTTCTTTTCTTGGACAAAAAACAAAAAGAGCGGAAACAATCAGAAGATTAGAGCGAGAAGGTGGAGGTTAAAGTCAGAGGTCGGAGGTCGCAGACGACCCCTCTGCTCAGGATGAGCCAAAAATAACTGCTGGGCTGTGACGGATAGCTTCTAGTTTCTGGGTGCAGATCTGTAGATCTGGAGCCAAATTACAGGTCTGCAGAGGGTGTAGAGGCGTGTGGTGAGCGGGAAGGAGGGAAACACTGCAGCGCTCTGTTCCCAGTGTCTGTGGGATGTATTCACAGCGGCACGGCGGTTACGTTAGCAACATGTTTAGTCATTTTTGGAAAGCCCTGACTTTCCACTGGGATTCACGTTTCTCCAGGCAAACATTTCTGGAAAATTAAAAGAAGCAAACCTCTGAGCCAGCAGATATTTCTCATCAGCTCTGCTGCAGTTTGAGCTTTTAGTCAGTTTTTTGTTGTTGTTGTTGTTGTTGTTGTTGTTGTGCCAAATGCAAATACAGCATTTTAAGCTAAACGCTACATTGAGCTGTAACCCAGATATGGGTTTGACTTCCTCACAGATAATCCAGTTAGTCCTGTTTGCAGCTGCAGGGGGGCTGGTTTCATCTGACTGGGTGTCAAAGTCATGAGAAGATTTTTTTTTTTAAGGGAAACAACTGAAGATTACCAGGAAAAGTTAAATACAAGCAGTTTGGCTTCAAGGAAACTGATTTCTGCATCGTTCCTGCTGTTTCTGGACTTTTTGCTGATTGTGTTTTTAGACTTTGTTTCAAAATTGTTTTGAATTAGTTTAATAAATTCATTCCTGTCTTGATAATGCTGGATTTTAGTTTCAAAATAGAAGCAGAGAACGGCCTGAAAAGCTGTTTTCAAGATAACGAGATCTGATTTTCCCCATATAAATCCATTCCTCGTTCTAAGTAAAACTATTGTTAGTTATTTTGACCTGGATAAGTCGCTGGGGATCATGCAAACAACTGAAAATGTCACATAGAGACATAAAAATAGCATTTTCTTCAGGGTAAAGGTGTTCAAAGTGAAGTTCGGGGGCCAGTTGTGGTCCCTCAGCTGATTTTGTGCGGCCCCCCTCAAGAATAAATCATATAAATTAGGAAAAAACTGTGAAACTAAAATCTACTTACAAAAATGTTAGATGCCACATAAACTGATAATCTTTTCCAAGCTTCCTGGTTTGTTTCTGTTGTCATGGTAACTAGTACCAGATCTACTCATTAAAATCTACTCTAAAGTTTTCATTTGGTGGATCTAAATCTGCTTTTTAATGGTCTGTTAAAACTCAGATAAATGCAGGAAGTGTTTTCAAATGAAGACTGATCTACATCCAGTTTTTATCATTCAAAATAGACAAAAATATAGTTTTAGTTTAATTCAGATGAGCCCAAAAATAAAAAGCAAATTGGATTTCTTTCATTTAACCAGCAAATCCTATTTGCAGTTTTGGTTCTATGATACAGTTCCTACAAAAAATTGGTTTACTTTATTTGATTAAATAAAATAGTTCCTAGATTAAAATAAATCACAACAACATTTTGGTGATTTTACGTTTTTAAAAATTATATATTTTTTGTTCTGAAATTATTTCTGAGCTGACAATTTTGGCCAACTTGGCAAAACGTTTGTACACCCCTCGAACACTTTGAACAAAACAAGTTCTTCACATTTTCTGCAAAAATTGTTGTTGGATAATGAGATTTCACTCTGAACTCTGAACTCGTTTCTGAATTAGCTGTTTTGGCATCCTGTCACTTTAAATCCAGATTAGCTGCTGCTGGCCACGCCCCCAACTCAGTGTTTACACTCCCACATGAAAATGACTGCAAGCTGATGCTCATTTATACATCTTTGAAAAGCAGAAGTAGAGCCATCTGCACAACCAACAAAAATGCAGCAAATGGTTTCTAGAAGACAACAACAAAAATTGACTTTTCCAGCAGCCATTGTGCAGCGCATACATCAACAGAAGCTGAGCAAACATGCTGTTCTGCTTTGGTTGCTAGGTAACGGGGCTGACCTTGGCTGGGTTGCAGCACAGCGCCCATCGAATGTGACTTAACATTTAGGTGGTTTTTGAAACGGCTCATTTTCCAGACACCAAAAAAACTTTAATTTATTGCCAATAAATATCTTAGTGATTGTTTTTAAAGCACTTGGGTTGTTTCTAGAAGAAGTTGAGACCCAAATTGAAGAATAAAAATCTGCAAAATGTGAATTTTTCATAATGAATTCCCTTCAAGGCTGAAACAGATGGTGGAGGCCAAGAAATCTCCTGTTTAAAGTGGAAAACTTTTGCTGATCTCACAAATGTTATGGTGCAGATGAAGTGCAGTCGGAATAAACGTTGTTGTGCAGCTTCTAAAATATGGAGGCTTGAGGACTGACATCTTCACTGAAGTGTCTCCCAAATAGTTGGCTGATTCCCGACTTTAAGGACCCAAAAAGTGGGTTTTGCATGAAACCCTGGAGTAATTATGTGATTACTAAGACATTCCTGGAAGGATTCTGTCTGAGATGTTTATTTCTGGGTTTTCTTTTGTTATCTGGTTCCCACAGTCGGCCCGGTTCACTAACATTAAACGTCAGCTTGGCTGGATTTCAGGTTCTGACAAATGTCTCAGAACCAGCAGCGGATATGTGTGTCATGGAGTCGAACGCTTCGCTGAGATCATCCTTTCAACAACCTGCATCCAGTTAAATCACTGCAGGAGGCTTTACTGAACCTTCTCACCAACCCAGAACCAAAACCCAGAACCAAAACCCAGAGTGTTTTGGTTCTGGGTTCAGAGAGTCTGTTTTGGACTCTCTGAACCAAAACAAAGAGTCTCTGTTTTGGTTCAGAGAGTCTTTAATGCTTTTATGTGTTTTGCAGGAAATTTAATCCCTGATTTGTAAGAAACTGAGACATTCAAAAGTGGAGTCGGTTTAGTCTTGGTGTTTATCGCTCTGTTGTCGCACTAGGATCAATGAAACTGATTTAAATTTGGAAATTAAGAGAAAATCTCTCCATAGCTCTATAGATCTATATTATCTATATATCTACTGTTTTATATCTGATGGATGCACAATAAAAACTTACATCTAATTTGATCTTATGTTTAATTTCAGGCTAGAGCTTAAACTATTAATCGTATCAATCGTGATTAATCAGTTATTGAAATAATCATCAACTAATTTAGTAATTAGTTACTCCTTAAACCAAAAAATGGCCATTTGGTGAAAAATAACAACATATTCAGAGCAATAATTAAGCCAAAACTGCACAAAAAAGATATAAAATTTGCATTTATATAAATAAAAACCTTTTGTTTGGAAATATATTCTGCAGAAAACTCAACAAATAGCATAGTTTTAGTTTTGTTTCAAATTCTGTAAAAAACAAAAGTAAAAAAAAGAACTACTATAAATCACCTTTTCCTGCCCAATTTATTGATTAATGCAAAAATGTATCAATTAATCTACAAATGCTCAAACATACACTAAAGGAATTCTGTGTTATCAATTATAGACAATATAATGCTAATTTAAAAGAGGCTGATGATGTAAATTTATACATTTTGCTAGTTATTTTCTGAAAAAATAAATAAAACAAGAGTTTTCTGGTCAATAAAAACCCAACAATCAAATTGATTGTGATTAATCGATTACTCAAAGAATTGTCAGCTAATATAATATTTGGTTAATGGCTGACTGGAGTGTACAGACTGAAAACCACACTCAGAGCTAGAACGGTAAAAAAATAATGTACATTTTGTGTGGAAATATATTTTACCCAGGATTCCTCCAGTGCCGTAGTTTTAGATTCACTCTGTTCAAAATCTAAGAAAAAAACAAAACAACATTTTATATTAAGAACCTTTTGCTATCCAATTAGTTATCGATTAATTCAAAAACGTATCAAATAAATGATCAAACGTACACTAAAGGAATGCTATGTTGTTTCGTAAGCCGTAAAATGTTTTATTTTTAAAAAGAAACTGAATTATTTGCATCTTTTAATCCTTCTAATACTGTATGAAAGAAGATTTAAGTGGCTAAATAACTTATGACTGATGGTTGGAATAATCGATGGAGCGTTTTGAATCGGCGTTATTGTTCAGCGTGAACCTGAAGGCTTGCGTCACTTTAAGGTGTGTTAACTTTCTGCTTCCCGGGGGAGAGAAGTGAAAGCTGCTCGTTGTGTCAGAGCAGGAGGGTCGACCGTTAACCGGTTGGAAAGTTTTCTACCTTTAAACGTCTGGATGAAAAGGCGCCATTGTGAAGCTGGACTCCAGCTGTAGCCGCTCCGCTTTCTGCCACCTTAAACACCCCGTCTTCATATTTGGGGGTCGACGCTTTCCTGTCGTAAAAAAGCATTTTTTAAAAAGGGAAAGCTGAGAGAGACGTTCTGTTGGCTGGTGTTTACTCTGCGCTAACATGAGAAGGTTTTATTTTACAGCTCTCACTTACCTGCGCAAACAGAAAGTCCAAGAAGTTCACTGACAACCTGATAAGGAGTTCAGGACTTTGACTCATTAAAAATCACTTTTGTAAACACTTATAGCAACTAATAGTTTCATAAATGTAGCACAACATGTCGTTGTTCAGTATTAACTGGAACAATAAGTACATAGTTTGAAAGGAACATTAATAAAGGCTGTCACTTTGACAAAGTCCCAAATATGTTCCAGTATTATCATCATAGCCTTTTAATTGTTTTACAGCTTGGAAAAAATGGTTTTGTTTTGCAATAAACAGAAACACCGAGCCAAATGTTTCACCGTGTGATTGTTTATATGATGCTTCCAGGAAGGAAAACTTTCTTTCCACAATGCTGTAAATTTACCAGTAATCTTTATAAGTCAAAGAGCTGTTTTTGCTCTCAGTCCAGTTAAATTAAACTCATTCAGAGCTAAAATTGGGGGAAAACAAGGTCACAATTTTGTTGTCATTTTTAAACAAACACAGTTCTATTTATGTTTACATATTAAATAAAAAAACTAAAGATTTGTAAGGAGAAAAGGACAAGTTTTCTTCTGTCAGATGTTGAAATTTTTGGAAGATTATGTAAAAAAAGAGCCTATGAAAAGCAAAAATAAAGAGTGTAAAATAGACAATAACTGCAGATAGTGCAGAGTAGTAGGAGAAAGTAATACGGTGAGGAAAAGTACCAGGAGTCCATAACCTGAAAGTGAAAGAAGCTTTAGGCTCAGTGTGGTTTTGTTTCAGTGAAAGCTTTGTGGGAGTGACGGATGAAAACAGAAGAACAAGCTAAAGGTAAACTAAGAAACATTTGAGTAGTTTAGCTAACCACGCTGCTCCTCAGGAGGTTAAAGTGACCTGTTCCCTGAACAGGTTAGGACCGGTAGAAAACATGATCCTTAAATGTTTTTGTTCAAAATCTTTCTTAAATAATAAGATTTCAGTCTGGTCAACTGACTAGTTTGAGTTCATTTCAGAATTGGCTGTTCTGGAGCCTTCTGTGGTTGCTAGGTAACGAGCTGGGCTTGCCTGGGGTTGCTAGGTAACGGGCGCAGTGCCTCCTGGTTACATTCTGTAGATTTTAGAAACGGATCATTTTCCAGTCACCAAAACATTAAATGCCTGGGTGGGTTTGGGTTGTTTTTGGAAGCAGCTGAAACCCAAATGGACGTAAAAGATGCTTGAAATGTGAATTTAGCACAATGGGTCGCCTTTATTGGATTTCTCTTCCACTGCGTTGCACATTAACAGCCTCATCTTGGCTCACAGCAATAAGGAATAACTTTTGAAGGTATTTCTTAATGATTCTCGTGGCCACTTCCTGGAAAACTACAGAAATCATGTTGAGTAATCCTTTACTTTGTGTATGAACTTTGTAGTCCATTAAGTCCCTCTGATTTCATCAGAGCAGGGCGCTGACTAATCAAAGAAGAGAAGTGGTTTTGGTGACGCGGTCCGTCTTTTCCAGCTTTTGTGGCGCATCTTAGCACATAAAAACAAATGATGCATTTTTTTATGGGGACTTTAGGTTTCTTGAGGTCAGTATTAATGAAAATCTGAGAATAAGATGTAATTTCTGCCTGGAAGTCTGGCCAAAAAGGAAACGTTTGCCGCTTTCAGATGACTGATCAGGGAGTAATTAACAGTCTAGCCTCATGTTTAATGTGATGATGGGGTAAAACTGAATGGTGAGGATTCAAAAAACCCCTCAATGAATTAAAATACATTCCCTAAATAGTGTCTCTACTTAGAAAAAAAATGTTAAAAACTGATATAAAAGTATGAAAATGACAGAGAACGAGTCGTTGCCTTTCAAGTGGTGCCAGTAAAAGAGTCCAACATTAGTAAAGCTCTGAGTAAAAGTACCAGGACTTCATAGTTTTTACTCAAAAATGTAAAACAAAAAGACATCAAAAATGATTGTACTTCTAAATAAAAAGTAATGGAAAATATGTAAATGTAAATAATAATAACTATAGTCAAGCTGCAGAGTTGCTTTCTGTGTCATTTGTTTGTTGTTATTTAGGATTTGTACTGCAGTAAAAGTCCAAATAATTACCACAAAATCTGTAATATTTTCCAGGTAAAGGTGAAAACTCTTCAGGTTGACATGAATTAATAAAATTCTTATCATAATTAACACTTTATCTTGAGATATTGTCTTTGTAAAACAAAATGTTCCCCTGGCAACCAGCTTTCTTGTACGGGATGCCAAAAATGTCAAAAAAAAAGATGTAATAAAGAACAAAAAACAACAGGAGTTAATGAAAAGACTGGATTCTTCTGGTTCATTCTTTAAGTTTATTTAGTTTGTACATTATAAAACTAAAATAGAAAATCATCCTGAGGATTTTATAGTTTCTTGAAAAGCATCGGTAAGGAGATTTTGTGAAACCCAAAACCTGGTTCTTCTTCTTTAATCTGAACCCATTTATTTTTATTCAGCTGATGTCCTTGGTTGTCTTTTTGTTTTTGTCTTATTACAGCCTGCTTGTGGTCTCAGATAAACTGCAGCAGGAAGTGTGACCAGGTCTGTAAAGGAGGAAGTGGAGCAGAATAACAGCTCAGTCCCTGTTTTATTTAAGTGTTTCATGTTTTACACAGGGCTTTTTCATAGCTTACAAAACGTCAACTGGCATTTATTTTGGGAGCAATTCCTCAGATTTTTTCACAGTTATGTTCATAATTTGACATTAAAGGTTTGTTAAAATCGATAATGAAACTCAAGAAAGTTGCTTTTAAACAGGAAATGTATTTGTATTTGTATTAACATCAACAAAATGTTACATTAATATTTTAGCATTAACATTAATTTCTTGGACTTTAACTTATTCATTAGAGTTTTTCAGTGCAGAAGTGACTAATTCCCACAGAGAAGAGGAAGACAGCCAGGTCTCAGTTTTCAGGTTTTTGTCTGGAGGCTTTTCTGACGCTAGTCATCAAGTTCACCGGGGTCGTTGTGAAACCAGAGGTCAGACGTCTCGGCCGTCTTGTGTAAATAAGCGTTCCTCTCCCATCTGCTTGAAGTGTGATCGTGTGACCTGCAGCCGCTTGCCTCCAACAGGCGGGCTGTTGTTGTCGTTTTGTGGCATTTCAGCTGATTCTCCCCTCCAGCTGATCGTCGCTCAGCTGCTCTCACATCAGCAGGCCGGTGGCGACCGTGGCTTTTTGTTTTTATTGTTGTTTTGGTTGTTTGAATGTTTTTGGACTGTCCAGCAGATAAATATGTCACAAAAACTGGAATATAGACACAATAAAGTAAATAATCATGTATTTTAAGCATGAATCTTTCTGTATTTGTTGAATAGATATTTCATACAGCCAGACTTTTTCATAAGTTGTTTAATTCTCCCTGATCAGTAGGAGCAGGCTTTCTGAAGGCAGCATAATGTTTCATGTTTGACTTTTTGAGAAGATATGTTTGGTTTATTTATTTATTTATTTCCCATTTGGGTTTCTACCACTTCTAAAAACAACCCGAGCGCTTTCAAAAACCACCATGCTGTTTTTTCTTGCAGTAATGTAATGATTTTCGGTGTTTGAAAAATGAATCGTTTTAAAAATCTCCTGATTAAGTCACATTCAACTGCTCTGCGGCGTTACCTAGCAAAACCAGCCAAGCCTAGCCTGTTACCTAGCAACCCAATTGAAGCTCCAGCACGTTTGTTCAGCTGGTTCTACTGCTGTGTGTGCCGTACAATGACTGCTGGAAAAGACAAATGTTTTGTCTTTTCCTGCCTTCTTGTTGGTTGTGCAGGAGGCTCCACTTCTGCTTTTCAAAGATGTTTGGTTGTATAATTGTGCATGTATTTGCAGCCATTTTCAGGTGTAAACGCTGAGTTTTTTGGCGTGGCCAACAGCGGCTTATTGGGATTTAAAGTGACAAGATGATTATGATTAAATACACTTACTTTATGCAGTTTAAGTATATAAATCATACTTCTTTGTGTCCCAAAAAAGCGCATTACAAATGGGAATGTTCTTCAGCAGCACTATTTGTGCTTGTGGGACAAAAATTACTGCGACACAGTTACCTTAAAAAAGAATTTAAAAATATTTCTTATGGTCACGTTTACTAAAACGTGGCTGAAATAATTTGGTTTAGGAGTCAAAGACCTTCAGAAAGGCTGGAAAACTGTAGACCAGTAGCAAAGCTAAATAAATAAACGGGAATTAATCAAGTTTTCTGCGCAGACTGTGGATCCTGCCACCTGCAAACAACACAATGGGAGGGGAGGAGGCGGTTTTACCTCCTCCCAGTGATGTAATGGGACAAAATTTATTACAGCGGACGAACAAACAGACTGCAGGACAGGAAGTTTAGACTGAGTTTGCACCATTGTGCTGGTTACGCTCATGAACGGTCATTCGTCTGTCTGTCTATCCACTGCAGACAGCGAAATGCAAATTCCTGAAAACTTGCATCACTTCAAATTTTGACACCCATCTGAGCCTCTTTGCTTCCCTTTCCTCCAGTCCTGTCAAAGTCTTCTTTTGTTTATATTAATATTTAACATGAAGCAGAATTTTGCTGCTGTCTCACTGGAAAAATACCAAATCTCGTTTTTAGGGAAAATACTTTAATGACCTTCAAATGAGACAAAACTACCTTATTAGCAACTTTTCAGTGAGATTTAGCAGTTTGTTTTTAGTGAATAAATGGTTAATATTCATGAAAAAATGCTTTAGCGCAAAATAAGACATTTTCCCATGTTAAAAGCTAAATAAAACTGGTTGCTAGGTGACGGCCTGGGCTTGGCTGGGGTTGCTAGGTAACGGCTTAGTTACCCTTGGCACTGGAACTAGAATGTTTTCGTCAACATTAAGAAATTAGTTACTTAAAACAAGCTACTACATGTTGCTGAAAAGTTACTCGTAAGTTAGTTTTGTCTTATTTCAAGTACACTGAGATATTTTAACTAGAAACTAGACAAAAAGAACTTGTTTAAACTTCGTATTTCTGCAGTGTAGGTCACAGAAAAACTGCAGAAATTATAGTTTTGTAAATTTAGATTTAAATTTTATAAAACAAAATGCAGTTTTTAGTCCACCAAACCTCGTCTGTTTCCATTTACACTCTGGTTGTAATCCAGAGGTGAACACGTTGGTTACCAACCCTGAGAGCGAAAGTGTTTACAAACGGACAGCAGCAAACGGAGGTAAAACCATCACACACAGGCGTTTTCTCTCCTGATGTGTCGAAATGATGGTTTGGGTAATTTATGTAAGATTAAGCTCAGACGTGTGGAATGTTTTCGAGTGACGGCTCGCTCAGACAACACAGGATCTGAGTGCTTGTCTGAGTCCAGATGAAACCAGCTGATGAAGGGAACCAAGTCATCAAAATGGAAAATAATTTTAAAAATCCCCAGGATTTGGTGGAGACCTTCAGACGTTTCAGTCTGATGAACTGTTTGATTCCCAAACAGGAAGTCCTCTCCTTGGTGAAGCCGACCCCTCGGGCTGAATTCCTCTCTGCTGATCTTTGTGGATGTCAAGCATGAAGCTACATGTTTCTGGCCTCCACATTCCTCCCTTATCATCTGCTGAAATGTGTTGGAGGGACTCCAGATAGTTTTCTAACAGGCAGAGCCGACTCAGAATAGACGCAGTTGGAGCTTTTGATCGGGACGCAGCGAACGCCTCCCGCCATCCAGCCGAGGTTCATCTGGTTGAAAAACAGAAACAAACGGGGAAAAATCAGATAAACCACAGATAAAAACATCAGGTGGAGATAATTGTGATCCAGATCTGCCACCAGCAACTTGTCACTAATTTCAACCATCAGGAAACATTTGATCCCATAAACAAACTCTGCCCTGAAGCCACAGGTTTCCTGCTCTGGTTGATGAATATTTTTTACATTCGATGCCTGCAGTTGGACATTTTGTGTCTGCTGAAAGCTAATCTTTGGTCTGCAAATGTTTTTTTTTTTTAACATTTCACAGTATTTATTTATTTTCTAAGCAATAAAAGCGGCAATTTATTTTGTTTTGAAGTTCAGTTGCTTATCTGAACTTCTTGCTCAGATAAGCAAGAAGTTACTTGCTTATCTGCAAGTAACTTTACAATTTACTGCGCAAATTGTAAACATTTTAGTAAAATTTGCAATATTTAGCCTCACACCAGCTCAGTGCTGCCCTCTTTGGGTTGAACAGTGGATACTGCAACTAAATTTTCCCATTGGTTAAAGTCCAATTTTTTAGTTTATTTCATTTACAGAGTAACTAAACCTCAAGTCAACCTTTTTTGTTGCAATAAAGCTGTATAAATTTATTGTTAAGGGTACTATCTTTATTTTAATGTACAAATTTAGACATTTTTTGTAAATTTGTTTATTTTTTGCGATATTTAGACTTAAGCCGGCTCAGTGCTGCCCTCTTTGGGTTGAACAGCGGGTACTGCAAACAGTACAATATTTTTGCTTATTTTGTTTAAAGAGCAACTAAACCCCAGTGTAATTTTTTGTTGCAGATAAGCTGCATAAACTGGTCCTTAGAGGTGCTATCTTTCACAACTATTAATACTTTTATTAAATTTAAAAAGATTAAAATTAAATAGATAAGTATGTGGAAATGAGTGGATTATATTTATATTTAATGGCTGCCAAAGCAGCTCCAGTCTATTTTGCTTTTGTTGTGCTTCTAAGTTAAAAATAGCCACAAATGTTATTAATGCTCACAACACTTGGTAGTTAAAGGATGACTTATTTCAGAATCTGTTCAAAGAACAAAGAAAAGAGTTTAATATTTTAATTTTAATAAATGTGATGTGTTATTTTCAGGCTGTTGGTTCCTGAGAGTTAGTGAGCCGGAGTGGTTTTCGTGATCTGACCCACCGGCGCCGCTCCTCCAGGCCTGCAGCTCTTGGTGTGCTTGTGTTACTTCCTGCTGCTCCGTGTTTGGACCACACCTAATGTTTAGTCACGCTTAATGTTGCTGCCGTGTTGACGTCTCCCAGGGTTTGGTTCCCATGCAGCCCAATGACAGACTGCCTCAACGTCTTCAGACGACTTGCTCATGTTTAAGCATTTCTCCTGAAAATGTGGTGATTTTTGGACCATAAGTGCTATTTAAGCATCTAAAAAATGTAATCACATACGCCGTTAGCGTTTCGCTGACCGAGCCTTATTTGGTAGCTTCATGAATCTGCAGCTCTGCACTGCATTGTGGCTTTGATTTGGGGCAGTTTTTAAAGAAAATAACTGAAGGTTAGATAAAGGTCTAGTTGTTTTAGAAAGCTAAATCAAGCCTCGCAAGCAGATAAAGCAACCTAATGTGGAGCCATTTAAAGATTGCAGATTGATTGTGGTAATTTAGAAACTTGAGGCCGTTTGAGTCTTTGAGGTGGACAACCGCAGAGGCATTAAGATAATTCCTGGTCGCTGAGGCACTGAAAGGCGAATAATGTGATAAATAAAAGGAGCAACTTTCTGAAAGACGAACCAGAGGACTAAACTTATAACGAGACTAAATTATTTAATGTTCTGAATCTGGAAAAAGTTTGTCATGGTTTTTTTTTCTGTCTTTGCAGGATATTTGGATTTCGACGTTTGAATCTTCTGAGGAGAAAATTTTAATTTTAATTTTTTTGCCTGAGGATTTTTCACCAGAGGAAATTTGTGGATATCCTGATTTTCTTTTTTTGTCCAATCTGAACCACCTGGAGTCCCTGTAGATTTTTATTTTTTTTAATCTACTGTGGGTTTTTTCCAGGGTTTTACCCTCTGACTGTCTACATTTGTGTGGCTTTTTGTCTGGATGCCCCAGGATTATCCACAGACTGCAGTTCCTTCTCGGGCCTGCAGGGCGGCAGCAGAGAGCAACGGCCAGCCGCTGGACAGGCAGACCGTCGGGATGAGCGACTTCTGGCACAAGATGGGCTGCTGCGTTGTAGCCAAGCCTCCTCCGGTGAGAAACCAGCACCTCTGGTTCTGATCCACATGGGAAACCATTTTAAAGTTACACTGCAAAAAAATTTACAGAATAAATTTGGTTTAAGTCGTCTGTCATAGAGGATAAATATGTAGGAGTTCATTTATAAATGTCAGAGTTCCAAATTAAATATTTAATTTGCAAGCTAACTATTTAGTTTACAAACTAAAAATGTTAATAAGTAAATATTTAACTTTAGTTTTAAAGCTAAATATTTAGTTCACAAATAAATGTTTAGGTCTTAGCAAAATACTTACTTTGAACAATAAATATTTAGTTAGAAAAATACATATTTTGGAGTTAAGTATTTAGTTTGAAAACTAAATATTTATTTAGAAAATAATTAGTTTAAGAAATATTTGATTTGTAGTATTCACAACTAAATGTTTAGTTGAAAATTAAATGTTTAACTTGGAAATTAATTGCTTAGTATCAAATACATATTTAGTTTGTAGTTAAATCTTTGGTTTGAAAACTAAATATTTTGCTCCCACTTAAATATGTACTTAGGAAATGCATATTTTGTGAAAAAATATTTTGTTTTAGAAAATAACTTCATGAATTTTTAGTATTCACAAATCAAATATTTGTGAATATTTAATTCCCAAATGTTTTCTTGTGAATTAAATATTTAGTTTGGGACTCCTACACTTGTAAATGTCTCAGTAGCATAGAGGAAAATATGACTTTGAAAAATTAATATCCACATTTTGATTAAACCAAACCAAATTACTTCAGTTCATTATTTACAGTGTAACTTTTAAAAGTCTTTTTTATAGCAAAACTGCAAAGGAAAACACTTTTTCAAGAAAGTTTGATGATATAAATATAGTGAAAGCTCTAGATATTTGATCAACTCAGTGGTTAACCCAAAATAATTTACCAACAATTAGATTGATACATTATTTATTATCACTGAAGATGCACTGAGAAATTGTCTGGTGCCCGTAATCAGCTGATTTTATGCATAACTGGGTCACATCTGAAACTCTTGGGTGTGGAAATTTTGAAAAAGACTATTTTTAGTTCTCTTTTAGTTCTCTGAGGGGAAACTAGATTGTAAATAACATTTTGTCAGCAGGGTCATGTCGGCGTCCCAACAGCCTGAAGTTACAGGAATCTGGAAACAAAGTTGTTCTTTCTTATCGTTTTGAGGAGACTATTTCTGGCTATCAGATTATTCTGGATTAGGAAATCCTGGCAGGATAAGAATTTGCTCACTTTGCTGGGAATACTCACGGGATTGCTGTTAGTAGTGCTAACGTTGCTAATCAAACTAATCGCTAATATAACAATACTTGGGATTCCCCCAAAAAACACCTATAACTACCTATTTCAATAGTTAAACACCAAATAGACCTTAATATCCATTGAAACAACTGGTGGAAACTAAACTGGTTAGTAAGGACTGAAGAAGACTAAACTGAAGAAGGACTCCTGTCTGTTTCATGAGTGCAACATTAGCACTAGAAGCTAAATATGCATGTTATTATGTCTTCTGTTGTGGTTCAACCAGTTAGCATCCAGGAAAAGAAACGGCCGATGTTATCTCAAGTAGCTTTGCACATTGTATGTTATTTTTAAGAATATTTTATAAAGAATTGCGTAAGGTGAATTTTCCACAAATAATTTGGAGTTACGTTCCACAGGGGAAAAAAAACATTCAGGAAAAGAGATGATTTGGGTAAATTATAGTTACATTAGTAAATAGTTAGCTTATTTGCATTTTTTCTAATTTCTCCAGTCACATTATATGAGATTTGTTTATTATATGTCATAAATGTGCATTTCCAGCCTTGTATAAAGTATATTTGTGGACTAAGTGAGAAGGGAGAAAGCTTTAAAGCTAACTTTACCTGAGCGCTGACTGTTGATTCACCTAAACAAGGTTCAAACCTGAAGCATCGTTACTGGATTTGTTCCAGCGTGTTGCAGATGTGTCCTCATGATGTCCTCACCAGTGAGAAAACAAAAACAGAACCAGGCTCTCAGTTCCCCTTTTTGAACTTCATGCCAAAACAGCATACAATAGTACTAACAGAACCATTTATTCTACAGTCTCTGCAGATGGAAAATATTTAGCTTCTGCTGTTTATTAACCTGAATATGATTCAGGTGTTGCTAAAAGAGACAAGAAGAAAACGTGGATTTACGGTTCCATTCAGTCAAATTTCATGCTTTATTGGCATCAATGTCACATTAAAATTGGATTAATAATTGTTTGAACAATTAAATTCATGTAAGTATCTTTGTCTAGTTTCTAATGCAAATATCTTAGTACTCTTGAAATAAGTCAAAACTATCTTACAAGTAACTTTTCAGTAATGTATAGGAGCTTATTATAAGTCAATAATTCTTCAGTATTTAGAAAAAGTTCCTCTTGCATATTATTTCACTTATTTCACAATAAACGGGGTCTGCGCCGTTACCTAGCAACCCCAGTCAAGCTCAGCACGTCTCCTAGCAACCGAATTCCAGTTCCATTGGCAGATTCTTTCACTTATAACATTTTTCCATAAGTAAAATAATCTGCAAGTGGAACTGGAACTTTTTAAAAAAAATCAATATGAAGGAATTATTCACTTAGAACAAGCCTACATCTTTGTCTTATTTCAAGAGTACTAAAATATCTGATCAACAAACTAGACAAGAAATACCTAGGAAGAGTTTGGGTATTTGCAGTATAAGAGCATGTTTGAGTAACTTATTAACCTGGGACTGAGGGAAGAAGTTGGAATACCGGGAGAGAACTCATGCATTCACATTGAGAACAAACTTCAGCAGAAGATTAAAACTCAGGACCTTCTTGTTGCAACAGTGATACCAAATGCACCAAAGTGCAGCCTGATACAGAAATCCACAATAAATGAAAATGTGTCTACTCAATTTTAGTTTAGAATCGATTAAAGATGTATTTTATGCAGGTTTCGTCTTGGAAAATTACTTTTTGACTAATTGTGCATTCACACCAGCCCTGTTTAGTCCGCTCTAGTCGAACTCAAGAAGGTCCAGTTCGTTTGAAGAGGTGAGAATGTGTAATCGAACTCTGATGTGGACTGAAAAAGCTAACCCTGGTCTGCCTAAAAATCAAGGTTTTGGTTCAATTAAAGTGAGCTCTGGTGTGATTCCAATGCTTATGTGAATGGAAAGTGGACCAGAGACCACTTAGAAAACAGCAAGTGAACTATAGTGCAGGGATTTCTGGGTAAATACAATCAAAACAAACACGCTAGTCTGGCGCTAGTGGAAGAAATGGATCGTAGTCTTTTACAAAGACCAAAGAGAAATCCTACAACTACTAAAGTCTGACGCCTTTCCACGTTGTGAAAAAGCAAGTTGTCGTCTTCTCTGGTTTTCATGTTGTTTCCTTCAGTGATTGTTGTTGCAGTGCCATCACAGGCGAGGAGGGGAACAAGTTTTCCAAAGTATTCGGTTTGTTTGACAGTCCGGTGTGAAAGTGAACCGCACCAAATGAAAATGTAACAAGTGTTGTAACTTTGATTCCCAGATGAAAAATACTTTATTACTCCCAAAGGGAAATTAAATATGATTTTATAACAGCTATCCCCATGGCGAGGTTATGTGAATGCCTCACCTGAACTGTAATGTTTAACATGTTGAATAGCTAACAGAGTTAGCGTGGGCCCCTGGCACTGTGGGCGTGAAACCCCACCACATGTACCTTCACACTGAGCGTACAGACACGATGCACGCTGGCGGTCCTGGGAGGAAGTTCTGCTCTGCGCTGGTTCCCTCCAGGGACCTCCACCCTCCTTCCTCCGCCTGTATTTTTAGAGTTTTCTGTTTGTTCCATTGTACCGCTGCAACAATACACCTTTGTCAAACACACTGAGACACACAGCAGCCACCAGGGACTTCACTCTGGAACCAAAAAAAGCCGTTTCTCTTTGAGGATCTGGACGGTAAAACTGCAGCTGTTCCAGAAAATGATGTAAAGGAAATGAATGTTTTATTAGACATGAGAAAAAATATGATTGTCTGTGTCAGTTATCATTCCAAGCCATTTTTTTTTGTTGCCTCTAAATACATTTTCAACTATTGTTTTCTCTAGTTTTTAATGCAGATATCTAAAACATTTGAAAAAAGACAAAACAAACTTACAAGTGACTTTTTAGAGAGTGAATAATTCCTTAATCTTGATGAAAAAGTACATATTATTTCATTTATAAAATGGGAAAATGTCTTGTAATAAGTGAAATAATCTACTAGAACTGGTTGCTAGGTGATGGGCTAAGCTTGGCTGGGGTTGCTAGGTAATGGCACAATGCCAGTTGACTGTCAGTGTAACCAGTATTTCTCTTAATCAATATTAAATATTAACTTAAAACCGTTGCTTTTTAGCAACACATAAGTTGCTAAAAAGTTACTTATAAGTTAGTTTTTGTCTTATTTCATGTGTACTAAGATATTTGCACTAGAAAGTAGATCAAAATTACTTGGTAGGATTTTGTGTTTTTGCAGTGTATATGTCTTTCTTACTCTTAAACGACCCTTTTTGTCCATTTGAGTCATTTTTTTCTGTTTCAGTTTTGCATCTTTTCCTTTCAGTTTCACTTTGTAATATTATTGGTTGGTTTTATTGCAATTTGCACCAAATATTTAGTGATTTTAATTGCTTTTACCTTTCTGTGGTTTGTAAAATTGGTAACTGACTCATACTGGGGGATTCACTGTAAGCTGTTGCAGGCAGTAAAGTGGCCTGCAGTCAACACTATTTGTTTGTTGAACAGCTGATGGAGTTCAAACAAAACATAGGACCAGGATCAGCTCCATATGTCTGTGATTTGCTTTTATTTTGAAATTCCAGCTTGTTCCTTTGATGTTGGCGGCTCAGATTACGTGGTGATGATATTTGGGGTGAAGAAGAAGCAGCTGTTTACCAGCCCAACACAAAGGTTGCCAGGAGAGACGTTTTTCCCTCCGCTCCACTTTAATTGCGGCGACTCTGTTGCGTAACGTAAAGTGCCCCAGGATTAGATTAGGCCTCAGTTTGTTGAATCTTAAAGCATACTGCTGCCATTAAAATCTGGCAAAGTCGCAGCTGTGTGAGCAATCCCAAGGTTTTGCTAAATGACCACAAGTAAATCTGAAACAGAGAGCTTCACCGAAGCCAGGAGAGTTTGTGTAACTGTTGAGCTGAAAGTTGCAGCTCCTCGTTGTTGCAGCACCTCAACCCGACTCTCACGTCCTGATGAAATTAAGAGCAAAATTCCTTCCAGTTTGTCCATCAGCGCTGCCCGGTTGCTTTTTTTTAATTACTGTTGCCATGGCGGCAGCTGTAGCTGTGGAGGAGGACGCGTGTAGGCCGAGCGGTGAGTCACTCCCAGCTGGTTGAAGCCGCTGCAGTGTGTGGTCTGAGTCTCCATCTCAGAAAACTTCCCCTGTTTTCTTCAAACATTTGGAACCGCTAATGAAATTAGAGGGGGCAGCATTATGTAAGAGCTTTGCACCATGTCGTAATGTTATTCCCTCATCGAAAACATGCCTGCACCGTCGCTTCTTTAATACATTTCTGAGAAATCCGTTAGTTTCCATGGCAACCATTCAGCTGTGCAAAACGCCGGGGTGGACCCAGCTCCGCCTTCGAGTCGCAGCTCCTCCTGGCAGCTAACAAGCTTCCCAGAGCCGTCCTGCCTCACTCAGCTCCTTCAGACTAGCCAGCAGCAATTAGCAAACACCTGGTGGGACCGCTGAGCTTGTTCTCAGTGCAACGCTGGTTTAAAGGGTTAACAGAGGAACGACTTCCTGAGGGCTGAGTTTCAGAAAGAGCAGGAGTTTTTAAAGAGAGCCCAATTTCATTGCATTAAATTGCAAAGTCAAATTTCTTTTAAGTCAAATTAGTTTTGTAACATAGTTACTTGATTGAGCTACAAAATGGTCCTATGTGGCTGTAAAAACACAATACTGCCCCTTAATATCAAGATTAAAGTAAATGATAACATACCATAATGCAGCAGTTGTAACAGGGGTCCAAGCCCCTTCAGCCCTGATCTTTCTTATGCATTTTCTTTTTTCTCAGCTGTTTTTTGCTTTTTCTTCACATTGGTTTGTTTGTGGCTTTGTTTTCCTCTTGAATCTCTTCTTGCGCATTGATAGACCAGTTTCTGATCAGTGTATCTGCACCATTTTTTAAACTTATATTGTCTGAAATGATCCTGCAGCTTCTCTCACTCCTACACTCTTTAAGGCTTGTCGTCTCGCTTGTGTTCACCCATCATTTGTAGTTCTGCTGTGTTACATAAAGGCTCTGGATAATCCCGAGCATAAGCCTCTTAAATCACATCTAAATGGTTCTGATTGCGGCTTGGATGTGTTTCCACACAGCGGGGTTTACTGGACTTCGGGAGGCGAACGAGGTTTTAATGAGGGGTTTCATTGGCTGATTCCCAGAACACCCAGTGTCCCTGAATGCACCAAAAGGAGCTGAACTCTGAAGGAGCCTTAAATTGAAACCTAATTTCAGGTGTTGGATGTAATTTCTGAAGTAAAATCTGTTGTAGTCACTGCTTTGAAGTGTGTGGCGTTCCTGTTTGATCGCGGAGCCTCCTGGTTCCTCTGGTGTTTTTCCTTTTCCTCCGTCTGTTGCGTCACATTTTGTTGTTCCTACATGATTCAGTGTGGTGATTTGAGACTGAGAGTATGTGGACATGTGGAGACACATCAGGGACAGACCATCGGAGGAACAAAAGAGACGCATCAGAAAGATATGAAAGTATTTCAACACCACAATCGTCACATTAGGGCAGTAGTCTGCCACACTGCAAAAATTCCTACCAAGTAACTTTGGTCTAATTCCTACTACAAGTATCTCAATACACTTGAAATATGTATTTTATATCAATATTAAGAAATCCTTGACTTACAACCATCTCTTTATCTTGCTGAAAACATAGTTTTTTAGTTTTTATTTCAAGCATATGAAGATAATTGCACTACAAACCGGACTAAAATACCTGGTAAGAGTTTGTGTTTTTGCAGTGCACCTGTTGCTCCAGAGCCACATGTGGCTCTTAAAAACCAATAAGGAAGTGTTTTTATTATGGATGCAACAAGAAACAAGAACTATTCTTTAAATACTTTTGCAAAATCTTTATATAAAAATATATAACCAGCTCTTAAGAGTAACTAGATTCAAAATATGGTTTCTCTTTCTTCATTTTCTATTAATTTATACCAATATTCTTTTTTTTCCATTCATTCTAAAATCTGAAAATAGAAAATAATTTTAATTTCATTTTGTTTGATTTCCATAATGAAACATTTTATGTTGCACTGCAAAAACACAAAATCTTGGAGAAGAGTGAGAATTAAAATAAATGCAGAGAAAACAAAATATCATAGGCATTAAAAATTGAGATATAAAAAGAAAACACATACAAAATGAAACGGAGCGATGACAAAAAGGCACATAGAATAAACTACTGTGTCCATTAAGACCTATAAAGATACATGCACTGCAAAAATGTAAAATCTTACCACGTATGCTTGGTCTTGTTTCTAGTGGAAATATTTTAGTATAATTGAGATGAGATAAATTATAAATCACTTTTCAGCAAGTTATGAGCTTATTTTAAGACAAAAATGTATTAATATTGATAAAAAAAATAAAAATACTGGTTATTTACACTGACAATCAACTGGCACTGTGCTGTTACCTAGCAACGCCAGCCATGCCCAGCCCGTTACCTAGCAACCAAATTCTAGTTCCACTGGCAGATTATTTCACTTATAACAAGACATTTTCCCATGTTATAAGTGAAATAACAGAACTGGTACTTTTTCATGAATAAATATTAAGGAATAATTTACTTGTAAGTCAGTTTAGTCTTGTTTCAAGTGAACTACGATGTTTGCTCTAGAACCTAGGCCAAAAATACTTGGTTAGATTTAGTGTTTTTGCAGTGCAGAGCAACAGGTGCACCATCTGTCCATGTTGTCCATGTCCTTTTAACCTGTTTTCAGTTAAAAGCCTGTTATCGTGTCTTTAATGACATTCAACCATAATTTCTGTCTCAAATGTCCTTTCTCCTTCAGATCCATTGTTCATTTCTCTAAAGTGAAAAATCTCTGTCTCTGTGTAGAAGAAAAACAGGAGGAAGATCGACCGTAGCATGATCGGCGCGCCGACAAACTTCATCCACCTAACGCACATCGGCTCCGGGGAGATGGGAGATGGCCTGCAGCCGGTGAGATGCCAGCTCCAATCTCTGAGCCTGACCTTTACGGTTTAACTCAGGAGAGAAAGTAAAAGTAAACCTGTGCAGCTTCACAGCAAACAGAGACGGCCAGGCTTCAGTCCAGCATGAGGACAGAGGCGCTCTCTCTGTGCATGGGTGTCAGGAAGTGTCTTGTGGCACTGCATCCTTCCTGCTTCTATTTTGGCTTTTCTGCCTTACATCTGGCATGTGGAAATCTGCATCCACTCTGGCAGTCACTGAGGTCGTCCTGGACCGGCCTAGAAATCCTGCTCCAGTGTCATTTGGTGTGAATGCAAGAATGCATCAAACTTACTTACTTAAGCTTACTTAGAGGGGATTTTTGTTAGCAAAATTCACTTTTTATACTTCCATTTTGGTCTCCGCTGCTTCTAAAAATGGACCAAGCCCTTAAAAAAACCAACCAGCCAATTTATTTTGACATAAATTAATGTTTTTTGGTGTTGGGAAAATGAGCCGTTTCAAAAATCTCTTGAATGTTAAGTCAGAATTGACTTGCACACTGCAAAAACACAAAATCCTACCCAGTAATTTTGCTCTACTTCCTAGTGCAAATATTTTATTACATTTAAAATAGGACAAACTTTTCAGCAAGATATAGTGGCTTGTTTTAAGTAAATAATTCCTTAATATTGATGAAAAGGTTCTAGTTCTGTTGGCAGATAAATTAACTTTAACATGGGAAAATGTCTTGTTATAAGTTAAATTATCTACCAATCGAACTGGAACTTTTTCATAGATTTATAAGGAATTTTGTACTTAAAAAAAGCCTCTATATCTTGCTAAAAATGTACTTTTAAGTTAGTTTGTCTTATTTCAAGTTTGCTAAACTATTTGCACTAGAAACAAGAGTAAAATTGTTTGGTAAGATTTAGTGTTTTTGCAGTGCAGTGCACCGTTACCCAGCAACCCAAGCGGAACTCCAACACTTTTGATCAGTGCTGTACAATGGCTGCTGGAAAAGACAAGCGTTTTATTGTTTTCTGTTCATCCAGAAACCACTTGCTGCATTCTTGTTAAAATATTCATGATGGACAATTAAATGAATAATTAATTTTAATAATTTAAACATATTTATTTATTTGTTTATGTCTAAAATTAACTCCTAAATAATATATGTATATTTTCTTTTGATAAAAAGTAAGTTTTCAATTTGCTTTTAAGGAGTTAATATATTTCATCTTACTAATTTATAAATTTTTATTTTAAACTAACATGCATTATCTAACTTGTTTTCCATAATAACTGGTTTTCTCTCCTGTTTTTATCGTTATCCCTTCCTGTGAGGATAGTTAATGTGCTGTGTGTCTCTGTCGGGTGTGACTAAGTGTTTTTCTTGTTTTTTTTAACAGTCAGGGTCTGTTCAGGAGCAGATGAGGTCTAAAGGCCCCAACATGAACTGCAGGAACAGCCTGTTATAGCCGGTAAGGACACAACTCTCACTCTGAGCAGAAAAAACAGAGCAGATTAATGTTGGGTAACTCAGTCTGTGTTACAACCTGCAAAACTGTTGAAAGCATTGTGACTGTAAAACCTTATGATTCATTATTTGTTCAGTAACTCTGACCTTGGATGACGCTCAGTCTGATCACAGCCGTGTGTCTTTTTGACAAAATTTTCCTCATTTTTAACCATTATATCTTATTTAGAGCCCCAAAATTAAATAATAATCAATGTATTGGGAACTGAAGGCTTCAGTGATCATTTTCATGGCTGCGGTCAAAACAGCTCTCAGGAAAGAGTTTCTATAAAAATGCTGAAAGCTCAAAATATTTTACACATTCAGATAAAATTTGTATGTCCTCTGTAGCTCTTTTGCAGAACTCAAGCATAAGCTAGCGTTAGCACTGCTAGCCACAACAGGAAGTAAAAAAAGGTCATTTAAAGCTCCGATTGTCATTTAGTTAAAACATCTACACAGAATCAGAATGCTGTTGCACTGGGTTAGAGCAGGATAGAGGTGAGACAACAACACAACTAAAATCCGAGTCATTATTTATCATTCCGGTTTACACACAAACTAATATTAGCATCTAAGCTAGCTGCCACTTACTACAGAACTGGTTGTTTAAAAATATTTTGTTGCTATAAAATATGACAAATAAAAAAATAATACAGCAAAAACCTAATTTCACTCATGATTCCTGCTTATGTTCAATCTAACAGTTTTGCAGTAATATTAGCTTTGTAGTGCTAGCTACATGCTACATGGGGTTGGAAAGTTGTTCATTTTGTGCAAAAAAATGTAAGTCATGTGGAAAAAAAAAATTAATATTGCTGTCAATGTCAACTTTCTTTTGTGTTTGAAAACCAGAGTAGTAAAGCCTCCTTTGACGAATGTTTGCAATAATAATCACGTAAAAAGCCAGTGCAACATCTTCTTGTTTTTAATTTTTATTTACTCACAAGAACTGCCCTGTTTTGTGTGTGGGAAATATTAAACCTCAAGATGCCTTGATATTAATTAAATGATATACATTTTTATTGTTTAAAAATGTAAAATTCATGTCGGTGTTTAAGCCTCCTTTTGATTTATCAGCTCTTACACAGATTGAGGATCAACTTTCTCTTGGATTATGACTATAATGGAGTAAATGACTCCTTACCTGTATGCTGACTACACATTAAATGATTTAATTTGAAATCTCTGGGTCTCTCTGTTTTCAGGATTGTATTAAATTGACTCAGACCAGCTGACTGACCTCCTCCGCACTCTGAACCTCTGAGCCTGTCCTCCATCATCCAGCCGACGGCTTCATCATCTGCTGCCCTGCTGAAGCAACACTGAGCAACAGTGGAACCTACATGTTAAAATTATTCAGCAAATGTAATAATCATAATCATGTTTATTGTTTTTTTTTTTCTCACCCTGGTCAGGTCTGAAAGTAGGGAGCCAGACAGGAATTATACACATTTTATTTTTGGGTGGTAGATTTGGCACCAGGTCTCTCATCAGTATTAAATTAGACATAACTTTTATTGTATGATCAAAACAAATCCAAGCAGGAATATAAGAACAGCATTTAACTGCTAGTGATTCTAAATTTTTAAGATTACACTGCAAAAACACGAAATAGACCAAAGTATTTCTGGTCTAGTTTCTAGTTCAAATATCTTGGTACACTTAAAATGAGACAAAACTACTTACAGTAACCTTTCTTTAATTCTTTAAAATTGGTTTCATTGGCAGATTATTTCATTTTTACCTAGGGGGGAAAAATAATGTTTGAAGTGAAATAATCAGTGGAACTGGAACTTGATTGCTAGGTGACGAGCTTGGCTGGCTGACTCGCGTTGCTAGGTAACAGCGCAGGGCCTGTTGTTCGTGGGTCTAGTACGTTCCCATCAATATTAAGGAATTATTGACTTAAAACACGTTATTTTGTTGCATTTCAAGTGTACTGAGATATCAGTAGAACAACAACACTTGGTAAGATTTTGTGTTTTTGCAGTGTATTATTCAGCACCTGGTGTTTTGTCGACTGTTCCCCAATGTTAATCGTCTGATGACATCATTGGACTTCATTTCCCAGAATCCTTCAGGTTGGTCGTCACCATCTGGGTGCTCAGTGACGACAGACTCTTGTTTTAAGGAGACAGGAAAGTCCCTTTTTTTTCTTTTTTCTTTTTTGCTACACTGGACTGGAGTGTGTGTGTGTTGAGGAGGAGGAGTGTGTGTGTGTGTGCGTGTGTGTGTGTTTTAATATCTGAACATTGTGGGGAACTTCGGTAATTTTATTTGTGGACATTTATGGTAAGTCCCGGCCTCGGTTTTTAGAGAAACAAATGTGAGGCCATGGGACTGCATGATGTCAGCAGAGGTCCTATAAAAAGGTAGAAAAGATCACAGACATGTGAATGTGTGTGTCATAGTGTTCCCAGTTTAGTATAAACAACCCACATGTCTGCAAGTTCTCTTTTAATCTTTGTTTTACTCTAAAAGAGAAATGTTCGGCCCACTACAGTGTTGGCTTGGGACGAGAAAAATGTTTTTCGGCCATCACTGTTTAAGATGTTTCTAGTATTTTAAGACATTTCATGCTGCACCTGGTAGCGGACGTAGAGTTTGACTGCTTTATGTTGTGAGTGCTTGACTTAAAAGAAAATCTGTGTTATTTGTAATTTTATGCTGTTTTGGGGGATTTAATGTGTGATATTTGTTGAATTTATATTGCTCGTTTCTTTGGTATCTCACCCCATCCTGATTCTCTTATTTTGCTTATTTAGATTTTTGTTTTAGATTTTAGGCTTTTAAGTTTTTATGTGTCAAAATTTCTGTATTTCATGTCTTGAGCAAAGTTTTAAACACTTTGAGATATTGTGAAACTGAAACTATTTTGAGACACTTTGAGCTATAATATTTACTTCAGATGATTTTTTTTTAAAAGCAAAATATATTAAATTTGTTCAGGTTTTATGCTTTTTGGTTAATCAGACAGATTAATTACAGCACTTTGTAAGAAGAAAATCTTGTGCAGTGCCAAATAAAACTGTACAGTCCCTTTGAAACAAGTATTTTTGAATAATTGAAAGACATTTATGTAAATATTTTATACTTTTCTTTTATATTTTGTACCTACATCAAGGTCCAAACGTGTCAACAGTTCATTGAAACACCATAAAGACACAGAGAAGAGGAATAAAATATGTGTATGTTCACTGATTGTCATGTCACTAAAGTTCTTATATTTTCAAAGTATTAAACCTTCACATATTTAATGGGAGTGAAAATCTAGACTTGTTACAAATTAAACATTCAGTGATTTTTAATTTCTGGTCCAAACATGTAATTAAACAACCCGGAAAAGACAAAACTATAAATACTTGGGAGACTTTTATAATTTCCATAGGAGTGAAGTTTAATATTATTTTCCTTACAAAATAATATTCAATTGAAAAACAGGAATTAACATTGAAGCTAGCGTTAGCAATGTCATATAGCTAGGTGGTTTAAAGCTCCTGTTTACTATTGCTTTAATTTCAATTGTTAAAGTGTTAAAAAAAAACAGACAAAAAAAAAAAAGAAGTCATAGTTGAAATCAACTCTATAGCACTGGGATTGAGGGAAAGCTAACCGCTACAAGAAGCTGAAAAGTGACTTAGAACTGAATGGATTCCTGCTGTAAAAGTTTTTGAATAATAAAATAATTATTAGGCATCACACTGTTTTGGAGGAACATGGAAATGGAGAGACTAACACATTTACAACCAAATCTTCCATTAGCATTTCTGTTTGCATATGAGCGAGCTAGCATTAGCATGACTAGCTGCTACAAACAGAGAGAACATTTTGTGGTTGTAATAAATCAGAACTGTTTTTGTAATGTTTTTTTTAAACATTTGAGCAGATAATTACAGGGTATTTAATAATTGTTGATATTGCAGTACAACACAGCTAGCTATTACAGGAAATTGAAAAAATTGTAATTTTAAAGCCTCTTTCGCCACTGCTATAAAAGTGGTGAACTAAACCTGTAAAAAAGGGTTTTTTCGCTATGCCATTGCAATACAGATGGACTAAAATAAAAACAGCTGAAACTGAATCTATATTTATTATTCCTGTTTCCACAATAGCTTCAAGTTCAGCTGACATATTGAAGCTAAGAGCTCGTGGTGGCACAGAAACTGAACTGTTGTCAATAAGTAAAGGTATCCTTTGATACAGTCCCTAATAATACCATACAGACTTAAATGTTTTGAAGATCAAGAGAACTGTTGTAGTGTGGTGAGCTCATCTCTGTCTGACCAGTTTGAATTTGTTCATATTAATGACAAAGTTTCCTCACACTCCGTCGTTAGTTATGGGATACCTCAGGGCTCGATGCTCGGGCCACTACTCTTTATCTGATCCACTAAGTAAAATTACTAAACAGCTTTGGATACATTTCTACTGCTAACAATACCGAATGTTAGCTTATCATTCCTGTTTGCATAAAATCTTCTCATGTAAGTACTTTAGTGCAGCCACCTATAGTAGGTACTTAGAAAAGCAGAAGTCTCCAAATATGTTTTTTCTTTTTTTTGCCAAGTGTTGTGGTTTGTGACTTTTGATTTTAGACATGTGGGACCCTTTAGCGCAAATAATTTGCAGTTGCTAGCTAGTTTTCAATATTGCTGAGTTTTCAAACTCCTTAAATTAAATTTTTAAAGTTAAATCAGAAACAAAAACAAAAATACATGCGGTAGTACTCCAAAGTAATGAATGTATCGATAACTTACTTGGGGGAAAATCCCTGGTTTCCATGGAAACCACTGGTGTTTCTCCCCGTCTCTGTTGTAGTCACAGCAACCGCCCACTTCCTCCCAGCACAAGCGATGGTGAATTTCCTCTGAAGGGAAAATCTGATTCCTCTCGCTGTGTGAGTTTGTTTCTTTTATGGCTCATAAAGACTCTTAATCCAAGTTTTCACCCAAAACCTACGTGTGTGAAACAGACCTCGAAGCCTCCCGTTAAAGTTTTTAAGGTTTTACAGAAGTATTTAAAGAGTCCTCAGCTCAGATGCCTGAACTAATGCAATAAATAGTTGGAATACTTTTGGCTGCGTATAGCAGAGCGTTTAGGATCGGCCCATTTGGACGCCACATGTGAGCTTGAAGACTCTTCCCAGACTCCTTCAGCCTGCAGAACAAATGGACGAAAAGATTTCACATTTATGCCGACCTTTTGTCCCTGTCTCCATTTCCCCCCCTCTTATTTGTGGAAACTTTAACCTGTTCTCTGGCTGCTGAAGTGTAGTTCCTTTTGTTTATCTCGACCACAGTTTCTCCCTTCCTCTTCCTCTTCCTGTTTGGTTCCCATCCACTCTTACAGTCCAACAACACTGGAAAACACTTTCCCCTTCGGACTCACCTTAAAGCAGAAATTTGATGCTTATCTCTTCCGTCATTATTATGAAACCATCCATGTGCTTTTTGTTTTCTAAAATACTATTGATATTGTCAGAACGTCACATATCATTGATATATGACTATTGATCACAAAATTCAGAATCAGTCCAAACACGAAATGAAAAATCTGTTTACATGCTTAGAAAACATCCAGATAATCGACTAAAATTAATTATTGCATGAATGATTTGACATCCCCCTAAAAAAGCTGATTTCTGTCAGTCTTTGCGTGTTAAATGTGTTTTTAAACAATCAAAAAAACTTAACTGGTTTCATCTGAAGGCTCGGCTTTGAGGTGTCCATCAAATTTTAACTACTAAGCACACAACATAGGACTGAACAATAAATCAATAACAATATATGTAATCAATAATCATAAATAATACATTTAATACAATATTCAGTATAACCTCACAGCATTCTGGGGGATGTAGGCAGAGGAAAGACTTCAGGAGCTCAACCTCTAACAGCCAGTTAAGATAAGTTGGTGGAATCAATTGACTCGCTGCTCATTGGTTGCCTAGCAACTCACTCATTCTTTGGTTGCTTAGCAACAGCCTGCTGAGTAACCACGCAGTAGCAGTTTAAGGTTCCCCCACTGCGCCTCATAACTGCTGAAAAATAAAAAAACAACGAGGTGGAGTGAAACTGTGGATAAAAGAGGATAGATATTTAATACAAAAATCTAATCAATAATTAGCGATATTGGCCAATATGAAACTCTTATTACAATATGTTTTACAGTCATAATGTCAAGCTCTGACAAAACAGATATTAAAAGTTGTTCCAGTGACAGTCTGCTAATTTGGTTTTTGGTAGATCTGAGGAACAAATTAAAACATTTTATTCCTCACCAAGTTAAACTTTGAGACTTTATCTGAGCTCAACAAACATCAAAAAGAAGGTTGTATTGTTATTTAAAAAATCAGCTGTAAGGCAAAACTGTTGAAATATAATATGATTTTTTTTATCATTATCAAATCTCAGTTGTCAGTTGAGCATATCATCAAAATACATCAAATTTCTCCCTTGATTACTTTACATGCCTTCATATGCAGTGATTTTATTGTATTTTGAATGGGGGATTTGTGTGTAACTGATGGTAATATTTTTTATTTTTTATTTTCAGTTTTTATTTTGTTATGTAACCTGTTCCTCCTTGGCAGGAACGGACTCACAGAGTGACTTTATTCTCCTTATGTAATAAATGTCTCATGGCGGCTGAATAAATCTGCTGTTTTCTCCTCCGTCTCTCTGCATCTCTGTGGTGAAAGTCCTTTATTTTAACACCACAATGTTTTAGCGAGTGTGGGCAGTAACAGAGATGATCTGCCAGAAAAAAACAACAACATTGTGCCAGTTTTAAATTCTTTAGATATGACTAAATAAAACATTTGAAAGCTGAGACTTTCCTAATTGACAGGAAGTCACTGTAACTTATTCATGGCACTGGAGAAAACCTGCTTCTAAATAAACAGTTGATCATAACAACTTCTTAGCCATAAATACTGCATCCTAGCATATTTTAACAATAGCAGAACCATAACCTGCAGCAGTGTTTTTCAAAGTGGGGGCCGCGGTCCCATGGAGGGCCGCCAGAGGGCGCTAAGAGGGACTCAGAAAATTGGAGGGAAGATGAGAAAAAAAATGCTAAAACAAAATATTGTCACCAAATGCCAAAAAAGAGATTTAGCTCATTATTTTATGAGGGTGATATTGAATCTACTAAAGTTTTTACCATAAAATTTTAATTACAAAGTTTTTCTGATTAGTTTTTCAAGAATTATTTAAAAAATATATAAATTGAAATTGCTTCTTGAAATGTTTTTTGCTATGCTCATCTTTCTGATTGGCTGTAGTTAAATTTATTAAGCTACTTTGCTCCTCAAGCTAGCACAGCTAGCATAAAATGGAAACATTTCTGACAAAACAAAGACCGAAGAAATCATCAAGTCATCAAGCCATCCTGTTGAGGAAACTAATCCAAAAAAAACACAAGAACTCCTGGACAACTAAAATCTGAATTAATGAGACCGCATTTATGTTAAACAAATGTTTATGCTTACGTTAAGTGTAACATAATCATGCTTTTATTAATTTGTTAAACATAAACATTATGTTATATAAAACAGAGGCAAAAATAGCTCAAAAAGTTACATTTTCCTTACATATTTTGTAGCGTTGCCTGCGGCTAATTGTGGCTAATGTTATTAAGACCTTTTATCAGTCTTGCTTGGTTAGAAAAATATGAGCAGAAGTGTATAAAATGTGAGTTTTCTGTAAAATTGTGCTGTTTCCAAAGTAAAATAAACACTGGTTAAAAAAGCTGAGCATGTTTTTCACTGAATTTAAAGCCATTAGGTTTGGCTCCTTGGTGAAGCTAAACTTAAACTACAACTAACTACTTTTTAAAACAAAAGTATCAAACTTTCGATACTCTTATTTTTTAGCTCTGTGTAGTGCAGTCAGTACTCTGTACAACATGTTTTGACCCAGTTCAAACATGGCATCACACTTCAGGATCACGTTTTATTACAAGCAGCTGCGCTGGAGACCACAGGCCTGAAATAATGACGGTTTAAACTCTGCGTTTCCACGGCAACCAGAGTCCGGCACCGGGGGACGGGAGGCGGAGGGGGTCAAAAATGAAAGATGTGGTCGCTGCTGGCTGGCGTTTGGAGCCGGGTGTGCGGGGAAACGCATGAAAAAACGTCCAGGACTTTTACAGGACGACTGCAGCTACACAGTTTACTGTAAAATGAAAACCGTTGTTTAGGAAATTACTCCTAAGGCTGGAAAGAGCGTAAACATTTTGTACGGTGAGAAACTCCGAGTTGAAAGCCTTTGCTCCTGATTTATGTTGGGCTTCAGTTTTCAATTCGCCAGATGTGGAGAAATAATGTTTATGGGTGTCGTTTCCTAACATTGATCTGCTGACAGAGAACATGGCTGAGTTGATTTAAACAACACAAACCGAGCATTCTGGGTAAATTTAGCCAAAAACAGACGGTTGGTTCTACATGTCACATCAGAAATATCATTTATTGTTCAACAGGGGTGAAATTCAGGTGTCACATCAACAAGTTAACGTAAAAATAATATAGAAAAACAAGAATGAGAGCTGGACAAATTAAAAAAACATAATAAAAATAAAAGTTATTACCGTCAGTTCTTGTTTCTTGATGTAAGCTCTCCTTTTCTTGAGGAGAGATTTTATTTATCTAATGTTTGTTTTTGTTTTAATTGTTTTGCCTTTTTGATTTACAGTGGCTTGCAAATATGAAATTTTCCTTATTTTGTCACATTACAACCACAAACATTAATATATTTCATTGGAAATGATCATTATATAAGACCAAAACAAAGTGGAAACTGTGAAATTATTACTGCTAATGACCAGGTTTGGGTAGTAACTAGTTACATTTACTCAATTACATTTACTTGAGTAACTTTTTTTGTTACTCTACCCTCTTATGCTAATGACTAAATAATCCACACGCAAAAAATACTTGGTAATATTTTATGTTTTTAATCAACTTCAGAAGAAAACCATCACATAAGCGAGCCATCCCAGTGCTCCCAGTGTGCTTTAGTTTCTTCCCCATTTTCAGGTTCCTGTTATGTGTTTTACATGCATGTAGGAACACAGAACCCTGGGGAAAGAGGAACAGAACCAGAAAACGTGACGTATGATTTCTTCATGCGTTTGAACTAGTTCTGAAAGCATGAAGCGAAATGGGACCAGCGCATGATCCGCTCTGTGTTCCTGTTTATGGAGTTTCCTCAGCAGCTAGCTCACCTCCTTCCTGTCCAGCTCCATATCCTGACAAACGGGCCGCTCAGACACATCCTGACATTACTGCAACCTCACTCCAGCTCTGACATAACCTTCAGTTTTCACAAGACTTTTCTGATTTATGTCGTGGTTTAACTAGCGGGGGAACTTCAGAAAGTGGTTCAGCATATTTAAAGCTTCCACTCTCAGTTATACGCTTTCTAGTTCTTTATTAACGTCCATTTCCTTGGTCAAAGTGATGGTGTTCACATCATGCCGATGTTTTCATAATCTGGATCAGAGAAGAACCAGGACCCTTACAGCGTTATATTTTTACACATTTTGATTTTGTTCAACACAAATTAACATGTTTAGAATGTACAAATGGACCATTGTGCTAAAAATTACCCAACACAAAATCTTATCAAGTATTTTTTGGTCCCGTTTCTAGTGCAAAAATCTTAAGACACTTAAAATAAGACAAAATCAACTTACAAGTTACTTTTCAGCAACATATAGGAGCTTGTTTTAAGGAAAGTTTTCCTTAATATTGATTTTAAACCACTTCCACAGGCAGATTATTTCACTTATAACATGGGAAAAATATCTTGTTATAAGTGAAAATCAGTGGAACTAGAACTTGGTTGCTAGGCGATGGGCTGGGCTTGGCTGGCGTTGCTAGGTAACAACGCAGGGCCCCTTGCCAATGGAACTGGCACTTTTTCATCAAGGTTAAGGAATTATTGACTTACAAGCTCCTATGTCTTGCTTAAGAGTTAACTTTGCCTTATTCCAAGTGTACTAAAATATTTCCACTCAAAACTATGCAAAAAATACTTTGTTTTTGCAACGCATCAACTCTGACCCACAATATCATTCTGCCACCATCACGTTTCACTGTGTGGGATTGTATTTTTAAGATTACATGATTTGTGGGATTTTATGCCAATATCTGAGATGTCCTCCAAACAAAATGGTTTACATTGATTAAAAGAAACAGAATTAATATCACGTTTCGATGAGTGAATTTAAACATTGGAGTATTTAACTGGAAAAAAATTTCCATGAAATAGCCATTTTTGGAAACATCTACAGACCTTTCAGAATCAGTTTTAATGACTGAGATTATGAACATAAGCAAAGGAATTTGACTCAGCATACAGATGTAAAGTATAAACATTAGGGAGAAATAAAATAAGGAAAAATATGTCTGACCTTTTTTTACCCACAAAGAAATATGTTTGACCATTCAACATGCCGATTTGTAGTAGAATCTGTGCATCTGTAAACTCATCTGTTTTTTTTGTTGTTTTTTTTTCCCAAATATTGCCACACAATTCTCATGAATACCGTGTTATTTCCCTCCACAGATTGCAGAAGGACGTACTGAAATATGATGCCATTTCTGTGACTTCTGCAGAAATATAATTGGTTCAAATGCTTCAAAAGCATAGAGTTCACCGTTTCCAGAAACGTAAACACAAACAAATTTAACAAGCATTTCTATAAAATTTTATTGATCAGAAAAAAAAATAAGCACCCACATATCCAGATGGGTTTGATGAATGAAAATTTGTTCATAACACTGAATGTGTAGGAAAAAAACAAAACAAAAAAAAAAAAACCACCAGGTTGGAGAAAATGACTGAAAATGTAAAAAAAAAATCTAAATGCATGCATTTCTTATTTACTTGAATCCTTACTAAAATGGTGATTCACATGATTTAAAAAAAATAGTTCCTAATTTTTACAGCAGTTTAATCACCATTTTTAAAATCTATTGTGCGAATATGTCAGCACCTTTGCTCATAAAATTTTCAGACAAAAAGTTAGAAAAAAAAAAAATCAAAAAATTTGTAAAATAAGGCAGTTTGTGTTCATAGTTAATTTGCATTATGTTGTTCTTCTCTTTTTAAAATAAAAATACGAAATTATTTGAAATATATAGTTCCGTAGCTTCCATCAACACTGTTTACAAGATAAAAACTAAGATTTTTGTAATCCTCATCCTGAAACTGGAAGTCTGCAGGAACAATAAATAAAGAGAGAAATGTTTTGATCTGGTCAGGCTGAGCTTCACCTGGACTGGTCCTGGTCGTACCTGCAGGAAAAACAGAAATCATGATTAAAATATTACATCTTCTTGTTTTTCCAGCCATTTTTCAATATGGCTGAAAAACACATCACTATTAAAGCCTTGCACACCAGTTGATATCGATAAATATTGTCTTGAATATCTGAAATTCTGCCAAACTGGTGATGTGAGCTTTCCTATTTTATACAGTTTTCACTTAATGTTTAATTTTTATGTGTTATGAGGCAAAACCTTAAACTACTACTACGCCAGTAACTCTACAAGTTGTTGCTAGGCAACCAGAGAATGAATGAGTTGCTAAGTAACCAAAGAATGAGTGAGTCAGTTGTGCAGTTCTGGATTGAATATTCTGATAGAATCTTCTACTTATCGAATATTCTATCAGACATGTCTAATAATTCACATGTCTATCATGATATACATTATTGATTTATTGACCAGACTTATCTTGTTGTTAGTGTTTTTAGTTGGGAGTTAAACCGTTAGGTAAATAATCCTTTGCGTTTGACTCACTGTAGGACGCAGTCTGGGATCTGCACATGCTCAGTGGGGACGAAGAGAGAAAGCTCCTGAAGCGTGTTGACGAACTGAAGCTTTCTGCTGAACTTGGAGCTAAAGAGAAACAGATAAAGGATTGTTGGTTTTCTGCCATTTTTTGCTGTTGGAAAAAGTGAAGAAGAAGATGCAACAAACCTGATGAAGGGTCTGATGATGGTGGCGATGACTTTGATGTACCAGGTGGGATGGACCACATAGAAACCCTTCAGGTTCTTCCTTAACCTACAAATAAATAACAGATTTTAGAGTCGATTGATATCCAAACAGATAAATTTATCTGCTGTGAAGCCCACACTGTAAAAAACAAAGTCTTACCACATATTTTTGGCTTAGTTCCTAGTACACTTGAAATAAGACAAAAATAACTTTAGTAACATAGTGGAGCTTGTTTTATATAAATCTATAAATGATCCCTCCATATTGATAAAAAAGTACTACAGATGGCAGATTAACTTATAATAAGATAGTTTTCCAATATTTTAAGTGAAATCCCACATTTTAACTTAAATCTTTTTCATCTTGTTCCACTGGAAGATCATTTCACTTTTTCATCAATATTAAGATATAATTGACTCAAAACAAGTGCATAATACTGAAACTAAACCAAAAATACTTGGTCAGATTTTGTGTTTTTGCAGTGGATGATGTTAAACAAACTCATAAGATGTAAATAACTAATATACGAGTAGTTTACTCACATTGTACATCATCTAAACATTTAAGATGTAAACCAAAATATATGACATTAATTAAAATATTAGTTAATGTAATTGAGTTTTATAATTTATCCTTAGTGTTTTTGTTGGATCTGCTTAATTGACTTAAATTAGCTTTAATTTTTTTACTGTGGAGAAAGTACTCCCTCTACTGGCACACTACTGAAATAACAGTTTAAATGAAACCCCAAGACAAAGAGGTGGACAATGCACATCTCTTAAATTGGATTTTCATTGTTTACTACAGTTTACTTTAGATCGGTTTGCACAATTAAAAACACAGATCAAAGATATTAACAGATAAATAATAATAACACTGCAAGAAAAGGAAAAAGCCCAATGGACTTATGAAAACTTCCACAGAAAGAAAATTTAAAATAATCCAACAATACTATCCTTTTCACGAGTTGATCATAAACTTCTGAAATACTTGAAATATTTCTGTTTGTTCTCATACTTAAATCAATACTGCGACTTTAAGTTGTTCATAAGGGCTATAATTAACACACATTTAAATGGGACCAAAGAGCATATTTTCTCCCATATCTTAATAAGTAGTAGCACGATGTGATTTATTTGTCAGGAATCATTTATTGGTGCAAAAATAAAGAAATAAACCTAAAAGGACTTATTGAAAACCTCACAGAGCAAAAACACAAAATCTTATTTTAAAGTATTTTTGGTCTAGTTTCCAGTGCAAATATCTTGGTGTACACTTGAAATAAGACAAAACTAACTTGCAAATAAATTTTCAGAAAGATATAGGCACTTATATTATGTAAATTATTGCTTAAAAAATACTAGTTCTACTGACAGGTTATTTTATAAAAATAATTTTTTTCTATGTTATATTCAAATAATCTGCCAATTTCCAAGTTTCATCAGTATTAAGGGATTATTCATTTAAAGAAGCTCATATCTTGTTGTAAAGTTACTTAAGTTGGTACACTTCAAACAAGACTAAACTAAGATATTTGCACTAGAAACTAGACAAACATACTTGGTAAAATTTTGTATTTTTGCAGTGCAGCCAGAGTCTGACGTTTCGATGTGTTGCTGTTACCTGCGGTCGATGGTGGTGTAACACTCCTTAAGCCAGCTGATTCCTGGGAGTTTTTCCTTCTGCCCTCCAGCGCAGAGATAAACTATCATATAGTTTTCTGCCACCATCAGCTCCAAAGTCCCAATGACAAACCTGACAGACGGAAACAGAAACAGTAAAGAATCCAATAATCAATCAGTAATCTGATCAGTTTCAGCGTCTCACCTGAAGAGGTTGTCCATCACATACTGGTAGTTCTCCAGACTGTTCTCCGGGAGGTAACAGGAGGAAAACACGATTATGTCATCCCCACTGTCTCCATAGTAACCTGACAAATGGCAGCCACTGGTTAGGTTAACAGCTAGCACTGCAAAAACACAGAACCTTCCAAATATTACCTACTATTTTTGGTCTAGTTTCTAGTGCAAGTACAAATCAAACAAGACTTAAGTAACTTTTCAGCAAGATACAGCAACATTTTTAGCAAAAATGTTTGTTCACTTTCTTGGATATTTATTTTAATTCCTTTTGTTTATTCATTTATTTAAATGAATTGTAATTCCATTGTAATTGCTCGTTTTTAATTTCTATGAAAGGCATTATAAATAAAATCTATTGTTTTTATTATTATTATCATCATTATTGTTAGAATAGAAAATACTTTGTTAATCCACAATTTGTTAACAAGCTACTCCATTCAAAGTGTTAAATATACATATAAAATCTATTTAAAAAAGAGCTTTATTAAAGTAGATGATTAATAATAATAATATATAATTATTAATAATAATATTGACTCTAAAGTACCATTTCCCTGCACCGTTACCTAGCAACGCCAGCCAAGCCCGTCACCTAGCAACCAAGTTCTAGTTCCACTGGCAGATTTTTTACAAGATATTTTCCCCATGTTATAAGTGAAATAATCTGCCACTTGTACTAGTAATTTTTCTTCAGTGTTAAGTTCTTGCTTTGCTAAAGCATTACTTGTAAGTTAGTTTTGTCTCATTTCAGGTGTGTTAAAATATTTTGCACTAGAAACTAGACCAGAAAAACATTTGTGTTTTTGCAGTGTGGGGGTTAATTAGGTGTTCAGGAAGTAGGTCGAACCTCCGTGTGACAGAACTCTGAGATAAGGCTCCAGGACGCTCATGTCGACCCTCGATTCCTGAGGAGGGTCACCTGTTGTGAAACAGCGCCACCTGGTGCCTTTGCTGTCCACCACATCCTCCTTTTCCAAGGGTCCCAGTCCAAACTGGTCAGGCCCTGGTAGAGAACCAGCTCCAGAGCCCGATCTGGATCTGGTCTCAGACACTCTGAGGCGATGGGAGGCCACACCGAGGCGCCGCATGTCATCTACAGAAGAAGAAGATGTGAATTTGCTCATGTGACGTTCATGATTTGTTCCCTTTTGGTACCTTCCAGATCCAGGTCATAGAGGGGGAAGTGCAGGGATTCGCTGTCGGACGGCGTGTCCAAGGCGTCCAAATCAAAATCCAATGCAGTGTCCTCTGCATCCTCAGGTGACGGGGAGAGAAAGGTGGACTGTAGGTCATCAGACTTTATCGACTCGCTGCCACCTGGAGGAGGAATGTCATCATTTTAAAAACAAACAGGCTGACACAGAAAGACGTAAAAAAAATAAAAATATGCTAAAACTGTCACCTAATGACACACTCAGAGTTGGAGCTGCCAGCACTTTCTTCTTCATTTGTCGTTCCCCAGTCAGATCCAGACTGCTGGGCGGGACTGAGGACAGAAATGATGGTCAGGATGTTTACGTACAATAACACCATCAGGAATAAATATGTACTTTTAGGTTTTTCTGTTCTAGCCAACGCTGAACTTCCCTTCACTGCATAAACACAAAATATTAAGAAATCACACCTTATACTTTCTACTCTGATATTAAATAAGTTAAGAAAAAAATAAGTCTTACCAACTGTTTTGATCTCGTTTTTAGTGCAAATATCTTAATACACTTGAAATAAGAGAAAACTAACTGATAAGTAACTTTTCATCAAGTTATAGCAGCTTGTTTGAGTCATTAATTCCTTAATATTCATTTTAAAAAGTACTAGTTCCTCTGGCACTGTGCCGTTACCTAGCAACCCCAGCCTAGCTCAGCCCGTCACCTAGCAACGCAGTGCCAATTCCACTGGCAGATTATTTCACTTATATGGCGTGCATTTTGTAAGGTTACACAGTAATAATTTGCTTTATTTAGTCTGTCATAATGAAAAAATGTGGGTGTTTGGCAAAATCATATTTTGGCATTTCTACATTTATAAATGTTGGAGTTCAAAACTAAATATTTAATTCACAAGCTATTTAGCTTATAAACCATGTCTTTAGCTTTCAAATTAAATAGCTTAAATAGTTAGCATCACTTTAACCCAATATTTTTGACCACTGTGGAAAATTTTCAATAAACTCAATTATAGATTAGTATGGAAAAGTGCAGGGATCTGTTGGAAAAATTGGAGCAACTGACATAATTTGGCAGTATACAGATGAAAATTGCATTGATTTGATTGATCTAATCATATTTAAGCAAACAAATGTTATCTTGAAGTTTCCATTTATGCATCGCATCGAGTCTAGAGGGCCACCCAAGAAGCTATGGCGGGCCGGATTTGGCCCGCGGGCCTCGAGTTTGACATGTGACGTAGAAGAACTGGACTGAAAATATAAATGCATCAGAAGTCAATAAAACTTAAAAAAATAACACTTTGAGACGTATACATCAGCTGTATGATGACAGAAAGCTGTACCTGGTCTAGAGCTGCTGGGTGTCAATGGTTTCTGCTCCAATTCATCAGATTCCTCAGCTGAACAAAAGAAACACAGGAAGTCAGTCAAGAAACTGAGGAGGGAGAAGAAAAAAAAGCTGGTAAACTCACTTGTCTGGCTTTCAGACAGCTCCTGGATCTTTCCTGGCAATAAAAAAAAAAAAAAAGAATAAAACTGATGAGAAAAGACACATTTCTCAGGTTGGGATTTTAAGGAATCTTGCAGCATTTCTCACCCTCTTCATCTACAGCAGGTGCTTCTACTCTTCCTTCCTCCTCACCTTAAAATAAAGGACATCTGAAAAACCTGCAGATCGTTTTATAGATGGTCCTCCTGTCTTCAAAATGATGATGGTGAGATTTATGCCTGTTCCTCTTACCCGAGTCCCTATCTGGTATTGCCATGAAACCACTTTCTCTTCCTCCCATTTCTTCGTCTTCTGTTGGGAGACATTTTCAAACAAGACAAAACTAATTTACAAGTAACTTTTCAGCAAGATATACAAACTTATTTTAAGTCACAACATGGAAAAAATTTTATGTTAATCAGTGGAACTAGTTCTGGTTGCTAGGTTACGGGCTGGGCTTGGCTGGCGTTGCTAGGCAACGGTGCAGCACCCATTGATTGTGGAACTAGTACTTTATTCATCAATATTAAAGACTTTTTTTACTTGAAATAAGGTCATATTTTTCTGAAAAGTTACTTGCAAGTTAGTTTTAACTTAATACAAGATATTTACACTAGGAACTAGACCAAAAATACTTGGTAAGATTTCGTGTTTTTGCAGTGCACAACATTTTTCTTCATGCCTTTGTTTGGGTAATCCAATATGAAACTTGCATTTAAATGACAACTGAATTTTAATCTTCAGATAAACTTCACTTTTTGAATGAAAGTTCTTGAAGATATTAGGCATCAGATTATATTAGGATGCATGTTTTGACAAAAATGTAAAAAAACAAAACAAAAAAAAACCTGGCTCTGATAGAGCTCAGTAAACCTTTTATTTGCGATGATGGTACAGAAAGACTTTTCTACATGCTTCTGATGTAGCATTTCCTGGTGGTCATGGACGACATTTCTGCTGAAAAGTAAAGGGAAGTGAACAGCTGATGGACCTGTCGTTGTGGTTCTTGTAGTAGACATGTTTTCATCTGCAGCATCTTGGTGGCTGGTTTCAGAGTTTTCATCTCCCAAACCTATCCTGCAGAAAGATACAGTGGATAAAGTGGTTACTTTGACGGTGAAAATTCAAGTATTTTGTACGATTTCTCGTGTCCCAGTTAAATAAAGCAAAAGTACTGAGGTTGACCTCTGACCTGGATGTTTCTTCTTTGTGTTTTTCTCCTGTGGACTCCATGTTGCTTCTGTTCATGAAGGAGAAGATGAATGCAGTCGTTTGCGTTTTGGACTCAGACAGAACTGATGCTGCCAGATTTGGCTGGCAGAAGCAGGAACTTAAAAATGACAGCTTTGCGCCGCGTCACCTTCCTTCTCAAACCTGTTTTCAGTAAATGGCACACATCTAAACCAGTTCCTACAGTCACACTCACAGGAGCAAACAAAGTCATTCTACACATGCATTGCATATTCCTCCTGGGTTTTTAATCCTTCATTTTATTCTTTACCAAGTTGAACTGACAGAACAAAATATAACTAAAATCAGCTTTTAAAACATTTTCTTGCACATTTTAAAGTTTTGTCTCAAATCTATACAGTATGTGTAATATTTCTGTGTACATGATTTTATATTTAGGTCATGCTTAGAGTTTCATACTTATTTTCTGTATATACAGATATGCATTTGTTAACATTAACACTTTGTATGGAGTAGCTAGCGGCTAACAGAAGCATATTTGGATTCGACATCAAGCTCAGATGTTTGAGAAAAAACACTTGGAAATTCCCAAGTCTGAAAAAGTCCAAAATTTAGAGAGGTAGTTTGTGATTAATCTTGGAAATTTTCTGGAAAAAATTTGGAAATTTCTGGGGTCCAAAAGTTAAAAATTTGGGAGATAAAAAGTCAAATTTTGAGTTTAACCTAAATAATTTAAGAAAAAAAACTATGAAATTTCTAAGGTTTTTCTAGAAAATTTTTCAAACTCTGAAATTTCCTCTTTTTAAAAAAAAGAAAATTTCTGAGATTTTTCGGCAGAAATTTGCTCCCGTTTTTCTTGTTTTAATACAGTGTTTCTCAACCCTGGTCCTCACCCCCCCCCCTGTCCTCCATGTTTTAGGCATTTCCCTTCTGCCACACACCTGAATTGTATCTCTGGGTGATTAACAGGCTTCTGCAGCACTTGGTGGTCATGCAATCATTTGAATCAGTTGTTCTGGAATAGAGGCACATATAAAACCTGCAGAGCAGCTGGGCGGGGAGGACCAAAGTTGAGAAACACTGACCCAATATATTGTCATAGAAATCTGGCTATTTTCATCGTCATTAAAATATTGCGTTTAGTTGACTGCTGAATAGGTAAAAATTAAATCATTAAATAATTTTTGCATTTATATTTAAAACATTAAAGTTTGTGGCCCCTGTAGTTCTTCCAACTTGAGATTTTTTAGCCTCCATGACAAACATTTTGGAGACCATATTGTAGAAATAAAGCATTTTCTGATCATTTCAACCAGTAATGAGTAATTCAGACGCCTTTAAATACTGAAATGAGAAAACAGTTGGAACAAACTGAACTGTTGACACAAAGCTGGACAAATGTTGCCGCTCTAAGATTTCTGCTCACTGGATCCGAACCAGGAAAACAACAAGCCCAACCCACAACCCTTCCTGCTCTCATTTATATTTACCTCTCTGGCAGAACGCTGATTACAGAAACAGAGTGAGCTGAAATGTAAAAGCCCAACGCCACAGAAAAGATTAAAATAAAAGTTTGCTTTAGAGTAGAAGTGGGCAGACTTACAGTAGCTCTTTCAGCCCAGTCGGCCCCGGCAGGTGAGGGGGGACAGGTGAGGAAAGGTGAAACGGGCTCGGGACAAATGGAGGAGATCTGAATCGGAACCAGCTCCACAACTGGTGACTCAGCTGATCCGTTTATGAGCGGACTCTGACACCTGAGCTGTGCTTCACCTCTCTGTCTGCACTTTCAGGTATATAAAGGAAACGGAGGTGTGTTGCAACAATAAGGGTCCCACCCCGTTACTGTGGCAACCGTGACTGCAAGCGGGCGTGCCGGGGTGGAGACGGTGGCGTTCATGTTGCTGCCTGCTGAACGAGTCCGCATGGCAAAATATGACACAGCTCGTATTATTGCGGTTTGACAGTTGTGTCTCATGCGACAGACGAAAAAGTTTATAGGGCATTTACTTTTTAGGAAACAAAAAGTAAAAAAATAAACTTCTAACAGCACTGTTAAAAGATGCTGAAAGGTTTTGTTTCTGTCTTATCACGCAGATAGATTTTCTAGAAGAAAAAAACAACAAAATGTCTGAATTTAAAAGTCAAAAAAATTCTGAAGAAATGTCTGAAATTCTTAGAATCATCTCAGAAATTTTCTAAAATGTAATACATTTTTCTTATTATTTGTTTATTTTTATTTGTGGACTGGATTTCTCAATCTGGAACCTGAGTCCGAATTTCGTACCACAAACAAGCAAAGGTACATGACAATTAAAAAATAATTAAATCCTTGAAAAAAACAAGGATATTTCTGAGCTCCAAAAGTCGAAATTTTGCAAGAAATTGCAACAGAAGTTTTACATTAATCACAGAATTTTTTTTTTGTGTGTGTGAAAATTTCTGAGCTTGAAAAAAACTTAGAAAAATCTCAGAAATTTTCTAAGAAAAACAGGAAACATTTTTAGCTTTAAAATCTGTCTAAAAAAAGTCTAAAATGTGCAAAAAAGTACTGAAATGTTAAGCTTAAGCTCAGAAACTTTATTAGAAAAAGAATGAAATGTTTTGAGCTCCACAAGCCTTACATTCACAAGAAAATACTCAAAAATTGTTAGATTATCTTGGAAATTTCTGAGCTTCAAAAATGAAGAAAATTCTTAGAAAAATCTCAGAAATTTTCAGATAAATCTAAGAAATTCTCTAAAAAAACCTAGAAAATTTCTGAGCTCCAAAATCAAGAATTTTGCTAGCAAAAACTCAGACATTTTGAGGTTAATCCCAGAAATTTTCTGGAAAAACCTTTGAAATTTCTGACCTCAAAATGTGAAAAAACAAACAAATTTTTTGAGATTAAATGTAACTGAATTGAATTCAGATTGAATTGAGTAATTTCTTTCTACTTTTTAAATTCACTTGAGCAAAAATATGTTGAAGTTTTGCCAGTTTTACTTGTGTACAATTTTTGGTTACTCTACCCATCTCTGTGTAAAAGTAAAACTTTATTTTCTCCTTCAAAATAATGACAAAATGCCATCTCATTGTAAATAAAGTTGGGGTGGAAGTGACGTTGGGCGACTCTCTCGTCACTTCCGACATATTCAACATGGAGTCCAGTGGTGTAAAGCTAAACTTCTGGGAGAACGGACCAAAGCCCGGACAGTTTTATTCTTTCCCTGGCACCAGCAGAACTGGGCACGGAACATCATGCGGCCCGGTTAGACACACACTGTGAGTAGATGTCTGGCTCGGAACCAGAACCTCGTAATGTTCGTAGAAGCCGAACACCGGCTCTGGTTTCGGTTTGATCTCCGCTGCTGTGCTGTATCATCATGGAGAAACGGCTGCTGCTAACCACAGCTAAAGCACTTAACAGTTTACCTCAACATTAAGGTTTACGACTTTATTAAAGCAAACAGACACTTTGAGTTGTTACGTTAATTAAATAATAAAGATGATCAGACATTAGGTAATCTATTTAAATCTCTTTTTAGGCGTTTGATAAATCGTAACCTGTTAGCTAAGCTAGCTTAGACAGCAGATTGTTGTTCCCAGATATAAAAAGTAAGATAATTACTTTAAAGACAGACTGCAGTCTTTAAAGTAATTATTAAAATAATAAGAAGCAAAACTATGAGAAAAAGCTTATGTTTATTATTTTGTTTTGATTTTTATCCTGATTTCCAAGAATAGTTGAGTAATATTATTTTACTGTTATGGAAATAAAGTAATTATAGGTGCCTGTTACTATGCCTGTCACAATTATAAATTTTGCTGGATGATAAATCATCCCAGTAATTATTATAATAAATTATAATATTATTTTGAGACCATTTTCAAGTGATATATTAATAATGGCATTATAATGCAAGTTCACCCTCTCAAAGACTAATAAAATTACATTTAGTAAAGGACACGAAACACTGGAACTGGAAGATATTTTAAATATCCAAAATAAAACTAGACAACCAAAACCAATTAATAAAACAGAAATAAAAACCACTTTTAACTGAAACCATAAATAAAATTGGTTATGATGTACATGTAAACAACATTTTGCTTAAAAATGAAATTATCTCGTTTTAATTGCTTATTGTGACAGGCTGCCTATTACTGACATATTCTGTGATTGAAATTCAAGACAGTAATTATGTTTTTATTAGCATGAAACCACCCAACTGAGAAGGCAAACACAGGAACACGGAAATAGATGTTGGCATATTTTATATGGTTACAAAAAAGTAAGGATGGAAAAGTGGATATTTAATAGTTTTGTAAAATCTTTGTATTCTCCAGCTACGTTACTCACTAGGAATATTTTCAACAAACGATGATATGCAGACTTTATAGACTTTTACAATCATGTCTATTATTGAATATTTCTTCTTTCTTTTTGCAGTAACCCGATGGTAACTGGTACATCGGTGCTCGGTGTGAAGTTCACAGGCGGCGTCATCATCGCGGCGGACATGTTGGGTTCTTATGGCTCTCTGGCTCGGTTCAGGAACATTTCCCGCCTCATGAAGGTGACGACCGCTGTCGACAAGAACAAGAAAACAGAAATTTCTATAACTGAAAGCTGTCTATAATGTTTTTTATTTGTTTGTTTTTTAAATAGGTGAACGACAACACCATCCTGGGAGCATCAGGGGACTACGCTGACTACCAGTACCTGAAGCAGGTCATCGAACAGATGGTGTAAGTTCCTCATTAAGGACTAAAAGCACAACCCGCTTAGAAACGAAACTTTAAGAATCTGTAAATAACTCAAAATGTCCCAATATGTTCATGTTTTGATCATGTTCATTCACATTTACTAAACAGCAACACATTTCTCATTAGGATGACCAAAGAAAACAACAATAAATGAGTTCAGAGACTAATATTTTAATTTCAGGGTGTAGATATTAAGATGTCATGTTATTTCAAGCTAGGTGGTTTGTGAGTGTTTTGTTCAATTGGTTAGGTCTGAAGAAGTTTGAGAAACACCGCTCTAGATCTTACTGGGACATTAATCCTCTAATCTAATCCTAGAAATGTTCTTCTGGTGATAGAAGGCCGACTGTGTAACCGTCTTTATGTGGCTCTGAAGGTTCAGGTCTGAGCGATCGAACCTGATCGCTCAGATCAGGTTCGATCTGGATAATAACTGCTGGATAATCAGTTATTATCCAGCTGTAATAACTGAACCTGCACGCTGACTCTGGATCGTTCTGTATGTAAATGTTGTTTCTGTTGTTAGCATCGATGAGGAGCTGCTCGGAGACGGCCACAGCTACAGTCCGAAGGCCATCCACTCCTGGCTGACCAGAGTGATGTACAACCGCCGCAGCAAGATGAATCCTCTGTGGAACACCGTGGTCATCGGAGGTTTCTACAACGGGGAAAGGTGAGCAGAAATGAGTCAAAATTATCCTTCAATATAAGGACTAAGTGAGACTAAAGCACCAGACTGAAGAGTTTTGTCGTCCATGTTTTGGTAAAAAAAGAAAATTATTGAGTTTGTTTTAATTTATCATGTGATTAATTGATTAATTGGTATTGTGACCGGCCTGCTAATACTGACTATACTGATTAAACGTGAACCCGCTGCTGCTCTTTCTTCCCACGGCTGCTTTGTTAAATTTATTACCTTCCTAAATGTTTCGTCTTCTCCAGTTTCCTGGGTTATGTGGACAAGCTGGGCGTTGCTTACGAGGCTCCTACAGTCGCCACCGGGTTTGGAGCGTACCTGGCTCAGGTGAGTCCCCATGTGAAAAGAGAAAACAACTTTTCAGAGTTTAAATGTTTTAAAAAATGTTTGTATACCATATAAACACACATGTAGGATCAAATCTAGTTTTCGTTTTTCACCAGCGCATTCCTTCCGTCTCCATGGTAACGAGTGATGTCAGCAAGGCCAGGCTTTTATTTAGTATTAGGCCACGTTTTTGTTCTTCAATGATGAGAATAAAGTCGTAATTTTATGAGGAATCCAGGATTCCCAGACTATGTAATTTCAAACCCTGAAGTGAATCAGGACTCTGTGGATTGAAAGTGTTTGTTTTTAAATAAAAGTTTGATTTGCTGTGCTTCCACAGCCTCTGATGAGAGAGGTGGTGGAGAACAAGGCGGACATCAGCAAGCAGGAAGCCCGGGATCTGGTGGAGCGCTGCCTCAAAGTGCTTTACTACAGAGACGCTCGCTCCTACAACAGGGTGAGTTCAGCTCACGTTGCCAGTCGGACCCAGAGCCGCAGAAAAACACCAACTGAGCTAAACTTTAACCAGGAGCTCTGCCCACACACCGCCTGTGCAAAAACACAGAATATGGAAAGAGACATAAACTTTTAGGAGGTTTTTATTCACTACTCCATAATTACTACATTCATATACCATAGAATATACTTTATTGATCCAGTAGGGGAAATCGATTTTTAGTTGAGGAGCTACTGTATTCATATTACAAATATAAATTATTTAGAAATGTATAAATAACTGTGATGTAAATAATTTAAATATGACTGAATATAAATAAATAAGTTAAATAAAATAAGAAGCATGCACATGGAAATATGTTGTATATTAATCTACAAATGAGTCCAGATAAAATTAGAAAATTATTTAAAAAATACCATTTGATATTAGACGGCTGTGAGTCCTAAGAGGAAAATTTTATTGTCGGATAATATATTATGACTTTGTTACCAGGTATTGAATTTTTCTAATGTAATATTTTATATTAATTGGATCAAATTTGTTTTTTTCCCCCATAGTTCTTGTTT